AATCGAGAGACTTTCTGTAAGTAAGAATTCCATTGTACCAGTACCGGTTACATATGGCAATAAAGTTCAAGTTCAAGTTCAAGTTCAAGTTAAATTGGTTACCAATACCGTTTGCTAGGCTATGCAAACGACAAAAATCGAAAACGGAATACATTCTCTGACACTGCATATACAGTACTGGGCGAAAACTGTAACCTGTGAGTATCACATGAATGAAGTAATCGGCTTTAGAATCGGACTGGATTATATAAACCCAAGCATTGTTATATCACCGTAACACAGGCTCAGTGTTTGATTTGGTTTAAGCATTGAACCTGTTCATTTTTTTTTTGCTATCTAAAGCAGCTCGGCAAGAAACCGTTTTTGTGTGTGTGCAATATTTTAAAATAATTATATGCAGTCGTTTATTTTTACAGTTAGTTATTTTTTTAAAAGATAATTCTAGGCAAGCAATGCGCGCTTCGATCCTCCTGAAGTTACATGTCGAGGCTGTCTACCCAGAACAAGCAGTCATGGTGCAAGAAGAAAGCGGAGGCAATCCGTTCAGAAAGAGCGCACTGATTCAGTCTGAGCCGGGCCGTCCCTGTGGAAAGACGTCCGAGCCCAGCCTCCTGTGAGCGCCATCTCTGGCATGCTACCTACAGTACGGTCAGCAACAGAGCGCTTGTTGCACTACGTAATCCTGTAGCTTCCAAGTTTACTATTCGATCCTCAAAATCCAGGTGGATGCTGCACATTGGTGGTGGTGGAGGGGAGTTCCCATTACCTGTAAAGCGCTTTGAGTGGAGTGTCCAGAAAAGCGCTATATAAGTGTAAGCAAGTATTATTATTAATTATTAAAACTAAACGCTTCTGCTACCTCATTTTCAAAGGAAGAGAATTGGGTTTCCCGCAGGAGGTCATGGTCATGCTCACGCTCGACTCTCTCTCTCTCTGAAACGTGCGAAAAAACATAAACCTGGGTTACTGAAATGTAGCAATATAATGTCTGTAACATCATCTTTTCAAGTCGTCGTAACACCAACACTAAAACCTTTATACGTCTCCCTGTAACACGTCTGCAACTGTGCGCATGTGCTCTATTGCGGTCTGTCAGCCACACCCCCTGTCTCAGAGAGCTCAGGTGATCTGTCAGAGTATTTCGCCATCACCGCAGCAGGGGTGTTTTAACACTACATATCCCTTTTAAATGTATCACGTTCACATTTTTGACGTATCACAATTCAGGTTGTATTCTGAAACAACCAGAAAACATACACAAAATCCTTAATGATGTTCCCTCATTTTTTTTTAAGTACTGGGATCCTATAGATTCTTTCTAGAAAGCTG